CACCCCCAAAGACCAAGCCCCGGGAAGGGGAGGGGTGGCGGCGGGGCCCGATCCCCAGTGCCCCCGTCCCCGGTCGTGTGTTCCCCAACTCCCCGCAGGGACTGTCGTTTCCCGGAAAAAACGGGTGTACGTGAAGCTGCTGCCGCCGGATGCCGCCGAGACGGCTGTGTTCGACATCAAGCTGAGCTCCAAGAGCAAAGCCCTCCCGCACTACATGAAAATAGGGTACAACACATGAAAAGGCGGTAAAATACAGGGAAATCCCACCCTCCGGTCTGGCCCTAAAGCCTGGTGCGTTGGGGTGTTTTTCTAGGGAAATAGGGAATTTTGCCATCTGGTGTAAAAAAGGGCCGGTTTTGAAATCCAGCCCCGAGCCGCGGAGGATCAGCGCAGGCCTGAGGCAGCTCTCGCTCCAGCCCCCCGACTCGGCCCAGAAGTACGTACGCACTTAATTTTTTGTTTCCTTTCCCCCCCCAGTCTTACCTGAACCATTCTGGGACTGGGAATAACTCCTTCGCTTGCTGGTGCCACCTCGTGGTTTCCGTTCCCCTGCTCTGGGGCTCGTCGTCGTGCTGGTGCCCGAGCATCTCGCCTCCAGCCAGTAATTACTTGTGCTCTGCTGCAGGTCCGCCGTGGCTCCGTGCAGCATCAGACGTGCTTCTCAGCACGAATCTCGGTACGACACCTCCAGCATCTACGGCCTCTCGGGTAAATTGTTTCTTCATCTGGAACCAAACGAGGAAGCTGCATAAAGCAAGCAAATCCCTCTCTAAGGGGTACTTTAAAATAAAAATATAAGCTCATAGTTGGCCTGTGCACAACTGTTTCTGCACAGTTGTTCCCTTTAAAGACCAGAATTGAGCTAAATTTTGAGAGGAAGGTTTTCTTAAAGACTTCTCCTTTCCTGGAAGTTACTCCTTGCTTGAATTAAACGGTGTCACTGACAGCTTTGCTCAAACTCTTCTCTGGGTGCTAAGGTGTCCCCTTCTGCTCATCTGCTTTATGCAGTAATTAAGTAATTGTGTGCTTTCAGAGCAGCTCCTTTGATGTTATTAAAGCATCTCTCGCTTCTCTTCCCAGCTATGGATGGAGTGCCTTTCACACTACACCCCAAATTCGAACGCAAGCTCAGTTCTGGCAGTAATGTGAGTCATCTTTTAAGCTGCTGTTCTTATGCTGCCTCATAACTAGTCTTAATTAGAAATTTTTATGTCTTCTTTTAGGCTATCCTTGCAGACCTGACTGTTAAGTCACTTGCTGATATCGAGAAAGAGGTAAGCGGGCTGCTTTGGACAGGCACCTCTTTTGGGGTGGATAGTGGTTGTATTCTGAATTTCTCAAATACCAGTGTCTTGTCTTGACCCAGTGTTTTTTGTTTTCAGTACAATTATGCTTTTGTAGTTGAAAGGACGGCTGCTGCCAGGCTCCCACCCAGCATTTGTTAGCACTGGAGTCTACCTCGAATATGTAAACTGCAGCACATCCAGCTGGGCTGAGCTCCTCCCTCTCAGATTAAATTTTGTGGTACCTGAAGAAATGCAATCTATACCTGATTACAGAAATTGCTTAGGGGAAAAAAATAAATGTTTCTCTTCTCACCTGCCAAAATATTTTTGTAATGGTTTTGAAATAGGGGGCTTCAGGGTTGGCACCTAGAGCAGCACAACACATAGAAGTTCTTGGCTGCCTTTGCCCTCCTACGCTTTGGCAACACTCCAACTCTTTCTTTTTTCCTGAACATTACCTCCTGCCAGGGTGGTTATAGTGTTTCTGTGGTGTAAAAACTCCTGCCCCTCAGCCTCACCTTTAGTTTGTTGCTGTTCTACTCCTGCACTCAGTCCCATCGTCTATCAAAAACATCACAAAGCTTTCAGCCTCACAAAGGAAGTTCCAAACACATTTCAAAATACATCGATTCTGATTTTAGTTACCAAATTCTGTAAACGTTTCCTTAAACGTTAGGGCAGTACAAAACTCCCAACAGTTGGTGGTATGTCCTGGAAACATTAAAAAGTCATGTCTTGTTTCACAGAGGTGGTTTCCACATGGTCTGGAAGCTTCCCCACACCTGTTTCTCAACAGGATCAGAGTTATTGTCAAAAGAATTACAGATGACTCTTGTGATGGTGAAACACGGCCCTGGGGGCTGTCCTTCGTGTCGCACTGCTGGGGGCAAGGACCTTGGAATCCATTTCAGGAAGGCACTTTAAGTTTTGCGCTCCCCAGCAGAAACTGAAGAATTCGGTCCACTAACAAGGCGAGGAAGAAGTCAGCCAGCAACACCTGCGTGATGATGATCTTGAACTAGGAAAACAAACACAACTCATTAGTCCCTCCCTCTCTTCAGTTACTCTGTCCCCATAGACCGGAGCCTCTGTAGCAACTGCTGAACTAGAGCTTGAACTTCTTCCTTTCACAGCATGCTGTAAAAAACCCCCCAAAAAATCATAGAATAATGGAATCTTTGGGGTGGAAGGG